AATATATGTAAAAATTTGAGTACAAAACAATATAACTCCCTATTTCTTATTACCACAAATAAAGTTACATTTTATTGTTCAGATATTTTGTAGAAAAAATATTCCACAATGTGTGGGTAGTATATTTTGAACATAATTAATTAGGACATTCTGGTATAAATAAATAATTATCTTATTCTTTCTTTATAACTGCGTGGGAATATTGATGAATTTAGCTTACATAAACTTTAACGCAAATGAGGACTTGTCATTGATAATAGAATAGAAAATCATTTATTCAAATAAATTTAATTTAAGCACTTTTGAATAGTCATAACAATTTGTTTTTTATCTACCACTCGTTCGGAAAGCTGTCTCATCACAAGAAGAACGAGCAAGAAACTTGTGTGTTGTAACGCCTATGTCCAGGAGTGGACTGACGATGAAATGTGTATCGAAGTAGGTACACCAGCTTGGGAACTGCACTTCATTAATATATAATAGTTAAACGGATTTTAACACGAATAATTTTATGCTAAATAAAGGTATTTACCTCTATCGACGTTTCGAGGCTGCACTAGCCGTAGTCACGAGCTAACTCAAGTAACTACTCCACGCTCTATTCCGTTTAACTGTAATATATTAATAATGTGACCTGAACACGAAAGTTTAGAATATAATCTAAATATATATATTTAATATATAACTGATATTTGTCATGCAGGTAGATGTTATGACGTAGGCACTGATTTTCATTAATTCTACCCCCAAGGAGATAAAATAGGGGATGAAAATTTATATGAAACTTTGTCAATTTTAAACCCTGAGACTTTGCATGAATAAAGCTACTATGACTGGACGATTTTGATTCCACCCCGGATAAATTAACGCGAGCGTAGCCGCGGGAAAAACCTAGTAATATATATTAAAATAAGTAGCAACTGCACTGCATTCATTTGAGAAGCACTTTCACTGTTTAAAAATTACATTATTCCAAGGCGTAATAGAGTACCAAAAAACTATTGCTGTTATGAGCTATTTGGTCTGACTTAACAAGATACAATGTTTCTATAGAAATAACCAAATTATCATATATCATTTAATGAAGAAATTTTCCACATTAATTTATAAAAAAAAATGCATTAATAAGTCAGGGTTATGTAACATCAAAACTAGGTGTATAAGTTAAACATATATTCACATACGTATTTGGTATATATCACATACATTGCCGTCTAATAATGTACGTCACATAAGACTATTTATGGCAGTACTTGAGCAACGGAAGCAAGCTCGGAAGTGGAAGGAAGCATGCTCCCTTGTCACTTCACACGCCGCCTCTATAGGGTTACCCCATATCAGTTCTAATAATAATCATTACAGTAGCCTAATATCATTGAGAAAGTGTTATGTCTTAAAGGTTTATTAATCGTCTTAAAAGCCAAAAGGTCGTGGGTTCGAATTTGGTATTTACCAAAAACTATCATTCATAATTTATCATTATTAAAAACTAATATTTTTTTATTCTACAACTCATTCGAAACGCATACTCATCACAAGAACGAGCATGAAACTTGCGTGTTGCTTTTTTAAGTAAGTATTGTTCTAAGTACATATTAACAAGTATTAAAAAACTTTACAAAAAACAACTAAAATGTACGATTCCTCCTTCCTACCGCTTGTCACACGGTGTGACAATTTGTCACTTAAAATAATTGTATTTTTAGATGACCCCTTTTAAAATGTCTAATTTGGAATACTAGAACATTCTATTTCAATTATTAGTTGCTTAGAGGAAAGTCGTTTAAATTTATTAGAAGCATAATTATTTTTACATTTTCGCATTCTCTTCATTAGTATAGTTTTTAAACGGGTTTTAACACGTATGGTATATGGTATAATTGTATATGCAATATAAGAATTCATAATGTAACAATACAACACAATGTAATGAAAACTGTGAAATTAGTAGTAGTGTAAGATTTATATAATTGTGTATGCATATTGGTAAATGTAACTGGCTCCTAATAAAGATAGGTGACACTGCATATTGTCAACTCACCCGGCCGGCCAGCGGTGGTTCTGGGCCAGACGGATAAGGTCTGCCTCGGTGCCACTGTTAGGCAAATTGTAACATCTCGGCTGGAGTTGTACAAAAGTGAAAATTAAATAAATATAATAATATTAAAGTAAATTAAAAAAGGCATGGACGAAAATGTCTGTGGAAAATTGTATTTAAAAATAAAATTAAAAAAAAACACGCATGGTAAATAAAGTCAGCTCGTGACCGTAACGTGAAACGTCATGAGAGGTAAATACTTTTATTTACCATAAAATTATTCGTGTTAAATCCCGTTTAATTATATTAATTCTTAGAATCATGTCAACGTAATGGCAGTCTTTAAGTATCAGTTGTCAGTTGGATGGAATCATAGATCTATATTTACCAAAGTGTCGTTTCAACGTTTGAGTCAGCATTCTGACCCATTTGTAGCAAATGCTGAACACTTATTTGTATTTAGTCGAGGAAAATTGACGTCGGTGTTTTGGTCAGTCGTGTACTCGTATCTCACTTTCGGATGGTCCCGGATTCGATTCAATTTATAACCGTCCAGTATATGTATTGTACTTTTTTGGTAGATGATAATGAAATAGCAATCTAGTATATACAAACGGGATGGTACAGTTATGGTTTATAGGGGAAATCGGGATGAAAATTTCATCATTCCTATTCTCCGCTCTATGTACAATATATTATAATTTATTTATTTATTTATTTATTCTTTTGCACACAATAATGTATGGCGGACTTAATGCCTGATAGCATTCTCTACCAGTCAATCATCGCGTTGATCAGAGATGATAAGGCGGTGCACTTTAATAATTAATATATAAAGAAAAACAAATATAGATAAATACAGAAAAAATATGTATATATGCAAATATATAAACATACTAATATACTATATACTACTAATATACTATAATACTACACTATACTATACTATACTATACTATATATATGTTTTAGAAAATTATTTATTTATTTTTAATTCATTTAAGTGTATCGCTCGTCTAGTATGCTCTATATAGAGCATAATGCAAACTCTACTTACTTTAGAATTATATAGCACTATATATTAATTAGCATATAGTGCTATATATATATATTTATATTAATTAAAATGACCGTTTTATATTGACACCCGTTTATTACTGACCGACGGAGTTGAAACAAATGCAATACATTCCGAGTATAAAAAAGGTACTTACTACATAGTAGAAGAATGTTATATATTTATATATTATTAGAACCAATGCTATAAATAGGATAAGTAGTATTTATATATCTACCTATGATATAACACGGGCTGTGATAAAGTTAAGCTCTCAAGTTTTTCCTCCGAAAGAGCTCTGGGAGAAATGTTTGCGGTAAGTTTTGGCTTATTTTGTCTCTTGAACTTACTCAATATAACTTATACTTGTTTATAAAATCCCGCATACAACATATAAATCAAGTTAGGAATATTTACGTCCCTGATTTTATGACAGTACCTCATTATTATGGAATAATTAGCTGTGCCCGCGGCGTGACTCGCGGTAAATTTTAATAATAATTAATTTTAACTATACTAACATTAAAATAAGATAAAAGAAGTAGATAAAAAATGTTATGACTATTCAAATGTGCTTAAATTAAGTTTATTTGAACAAATGATTTTCTATTTCCGTTTCCGATCCGTTTAGTATTTTTTTTGCGTGAAACAGTAACAAACAGCCATCCATACTCCCAAACTTCCGCGTTTATAATATTAATAAGATATGATATTTTAGGTCATCCAGTTTATACCTAAGCTCCTGAGATTATTATTATTATTATTAATGAATATATTTATATAATAGCTGTGCCCGCGGTTTCATCCGCATGAAATTTATAACCTAATCTAGTTTTATCAAAATCCGTTTAGTTTTTGCGTGAAACAGTAACAAACAGTGTCCAGTTTATACCTAAGCTCGAATCTAGAGTGTGAGCTGGGAAAGAACATTTTAGTCTATATTTAAGAGTTTATGAAGTACGAATTGTATTAAACATCACGGCAATGCGGCTTTCTCGCCATAAAATATGGCAACATTACATGTGACAATGCTTGAGCATGTGTCTTCATAACATCTAATAATAATACAAATGTTGTCTTTTAGCGCCATCTTGCTTTTGTCTTCAAATCGCCGTGTCATATTTACTTAAATATTCATTTCATGTTATAAGTGCGATATCTTTAACGCGAAAGTTTGTGAGTATGGATGGATGTTTGTTACTCTTTCATGCAAAAACTACTGAACGGATTTTGATGAAACTTCACAGTAATATCATTAGATATTCACGCAGGTGGCACCACCACTAGTATTGCATAAATTATGACGTAAAGTTACCACGTAGGTATTTTTGTAAACTATAATAAGCCACTTACTAATTTCTCAATATTTTTAGTTATTTATTATTTATTTAAACTTTAATGCACAAATACAGTATATAAATGTACATATGGCGAACTTAACACCTAAGGGCGTTCTCTACCAGTCAACCATAAGGCAAACAGAGAAGTTAGTAAGCGGCGCATTATAGTATATAAACATTTACGTAGTAACTTTAAAATAATACATATTATTAGACATACATATTTACATACGACACATAAATAAATATATACACATATACATACATGGATTAAATATTTAGATACAGGAAAATTACCCATGCCAATATGCCTTATGGTTAACTGATAGAGAACGCCCTTAGGTGTTAAGTTCGTTATATGTAAATTTATATATTTGTGCATTAAAGTAAATAAATAATTTACGTACTTCAGATATGCAATTTTCTTATGTTTATTATAAACTCAAAGGTTTCTAGTAAGTTTCTAGAATAATTGACACAGTGGCAGTTCATTTCTAGAGTAATAAATAATATCAATACACCAAAAATATGTAAGTGATAATAGTGATAAGTAATTAATGACTATATGAAAATGTTAGCTTGTGTGTGCCAACCTACGGAGACAGCGTTGTTATTCAAAGGTGGACCTCCAGTCACAATGGGACCACTCGGCACTAATACCAAGATAAGGCAAAATACAGAGGCTGCAAAGTCCTTGAAAGTTAGACCTAAACCAATCCGACGGCCTAGTGAAGACACCAAAGACAGCTCATCTTTAAACTCCTCACCATCTTATGTTAATCCATCTGGTAGTCTGTTGAATTTACGAAAAATCGAAAGAAAAGCTAAATCAACGAAAATATTAGTAAATCCCGTCTGTTCAGATAGCGTGGGTACAAGTGATGATAGCAATAATTCTAAAACAGTAGATTCAAAATGGAATGGCAAGAAAAAACGACTGAAGTCTGAACATAGCAAGACTAATAAGAAGGATGAAGCAAAATGTGATATAAATGATAGAATTAGCCGAAACAGAGCTAAGAAGGAAGAAAAGAAATCGGTATCTTGTTTCAAAATGAAATCGTCCAATGATAAAACACGCAGGGACGATGACAAAAAATCTGGAGGTGAGAACTGTAGCAACGAAAATGCAAGTAATTTAATGACTACAGAGAAACCTGATCTTATAAATCATTCTAGGAAAAATAGTAAAGAAATTGTGGTAGACGGGAGTCAGATGACAGATGGATTTTTAAATACTGACCAAACGGGAAAGACTGATAGTGCTATAGCAGTTAAGGATGCTGAGGTAAGTTTTAGAATAGTAACATTTAATTTACATATTAGACGTTGCATAGGAGACGTTGGGCCCATGGAGCCCGGAAGCTAAATTGTTTTTGACAAGTATTTTAGCGCGGCTCATCGAAGTTATTTGTGATCCGAGAGCTGGTAGCCCAGAGGCTAAGTATAGCCATTCAAAAAGGCAAAGCTGCCAGTATCTTGAGTGCGCTGCCTCGATGTGCCGCGTTGGGTTACAATGATTGTATTTTTCTGAAAGTTTATGTATGTAATTATTTATTGTTTGCTATATAAATCCTAATATATCCTATATAAAATCGTGGAGATCTTTGGGGGAGGCCTATGTCCAGCAGTGAACGTCTTCCGGGCTGCGATGATGATGATGATAATGATATAAATCCTAACTTGTATAAAGAATATCCGTGTTTTTTATTATTATTTTAAAATAATGTATATATATTGCCGTTGATTTTCTTTGCATACATATTTTCAATTATAATCTGATGACCTCGGAACGCAATCATAAAGCACGCTACTTAATATATATGAGGCCGCGGAATCGATTTGGACTATTTTAAGAATGAAACTTTTCTAAATTGACTTGGGTCTGCATTGCTGAAATATTCATCGTCTGGTCATACGATGGGGAGTTTTACCGAAGTTTAAAATTGAAAACGTTTAGCCAGTATTTAACTTACAGCGTAAAGTATTTTCTGAATGATGGTATAGATTTACCAGTCCACTAGAAGTAATTATTTACTACCGCTAGTATAACGGTGCTATTTATATGGGTTACTTTACAGAGAAATTAGTATACAGTTCTATTTTTCCTAATAAAAACTTATAGATAGATAATAGTTTTTATTTGTATCTTAGTACACACATATAGGCTTAATTATAACATCACATGACAAGAACTTATAATATAATTCAATAAGGGTAAACCTGCATGTGTGTGCTACAGCAATACAAAACTGGTACATAGCTCAGTGTGGAGAATCTCTCAAGGAGCAAAACACTGATTTTCAGCTATATCCTCGAGGGTGAATAATGTACTTTTTTTTATAAACTAAAATGAATTTTATTTACCCAAGTCATCAATATTATATCCAGTATTACATAGATATATAATTTTAATGTTCATAAGACAAAGATTACAGATTACAGGCACAGCCTAAAAGTTATCGAAATACATTTACAATTCAAATAAGAAGTAACCACGATGTCTTATTGCCTTATAATAAATTTATACTTAGGTACGAAATGTTTCGGCAATGTTTTCTCAAAGCCTTAACACCAAAGAGACACCGTCGCTTTAAAAATACAGGAACTTCAGTAATGTCACATTAAAATTTGAGAATTCGAAACAATGGTTGGTTAGGTATCTTGAGTCTATAAATTGGGGGTAAAATAATAAAGGTCTTATAAATGTGCTTAAAATTAAATTGATTTAAATTATTATTAAAGATAACCGAAGAATTGTGGACCAGAAATAGCCTGTATAGTTTCATATAGTCCATAAGTTGTATTTTATCTTTTATTTGTAAGATTTTACGGCTATGCTGCTATATGTCTCTAAAGCGAAAAAATTAACAGTAAGTACCTCATATATACAGGGTAATTTATTTGAAACAACATTGCCGTGTGCAATATTTTCTTTTTCATCAATATCACATGTCTAAATTTATATCTTCTGCCTCAAAAAAAACTGCAACCAATTATAATACGTCATACAAGTTCCTCACAATCTTTTATTGATTAAATTTTTTCTAATTCAAATGTATTAATAAATTATTGCCATCCACTTCTTTAACCATTCTACATCTGAACACCCACGTCGGCCGTGATAACTCAATTGTATACGGAATTTGGTTCATTATCAGGCCTGTAGGAACGTCTCGACGGCGTTTCAATTTGTATGCTAATGAGGAACCCACTGGTAAAGCACTCCCCCCTCATTACTGTTCAATGGACAAGTAGTGATATCGAAACAGACCGTTTCTCTACAATTCTCTCACAGCACACTTGCAGACTTCCCATAATTAAATACAATTATCATTGTTCTCGAAAAATCATTATATAGTATAAAACAAGTAGCGGTCGCTGTCTGTCCGTCCCTATGTATACTTAAATCTTTAAAACTACGCAACGGATTTTGAAGCGGTTTTTTTTAATAAGTAGAGTGATTGAAGTGGAAGGTTTATATATATAATACATGAACATCCGTGCCGGGCGAGTGGCTAGTAAATCTATAAAACGATTATCATTTATTCCAATTTTATTTTGAGATGTATAATTCTAAGTTTTTGAAGAAACTTTAATTATATAAAAGTTACGTTTTTTTTCTTATTTTTTTAAATTACTCAATGTACAACGCAACGGTTATTTTTTTATGGATTATAATGGATAACGGTTTACGCTGGCGAGATACCAGGACAATGATAAGACGAGCATGAGGGCAGGTCAGTTAGCCCATTGTGACAAATTTAACACGATGGTTTCCAGGTGGAGATCAAACTGACGTGGTATATTTGTATTCATGAATGTGAATATTTCTATCGGTTTGGGTGTTTTACATGTATATTACATATGTATTTACATAAAAAGTACCTATGTATATATTTATATCAGTTGTCTAGTATCCATAACACATTCTCTGCTTAGCTTGGGACTAGATGGAGTTGTGTGAATTGTCCTAAAATGATAAAGAATAATAATTCAGGACTATTACATTATTATTAAGCAATATAAATTAGCTCATGAAGTTTATAAACCAATATGAACCTATATATATATATATAACTCAAAGGTGACTGACATAGTGATATCAACGCATAGCCCAAACCACTGGGCGGATCGGGCTGATATTTGGCATGGAGGTAGATATTATGACGTAGGCATCTGTAAAGGATTTTGATTAATTCTACCCTCAAGGGGAAAAAAAGGGAATGAAAGTTTATATGAAACTTTGTCAATTTTAAACCGATCGGGCTGAGACTTTGCATGCATAAATCTACTATGACGTAGGCATCCCCTAAGAAAGGATTTTGATAAATTCCACACCTAAGGGGATAAATTAATGCGAGCGAAGCCGTGTACAAAAGCTAGTGTGTTATAAATGTCATGCGTGTGAAACCGCGGCCACAGCTAGTGCTTTAGAAACTACTGTATGAGTATAGTATGTACTATATGAGTAATCGTTGAGGTAAGATATACAAACAATTTCAGCTAATATAAGAAGCATGTCATAATGGTTTCTCATTCAAAAGTTGGCTTACCTCGTTGAACTTTCGTTCAACTGAATCGTGAGTTCTCTATTGTTGTATATTTTGTTCATCCACGCATATTTTTAGAAGTCGTTCCTAGCAATTTACGAGTGGATCCTGCTTTTTCTCAACAAATATATTTTCCTTCTAAAATTATATAATTTTTTCCCTGCTTATATTTAATCAGCAAGTCCTATTTTTTTTCGGGTTGTTAGGTTTAGGTTTAGGTAGGGCATAACAGGATATTGCTGTATTATAATAGAACTAGCTGTGCCCGCGACTTCGTCCGTGTGAAATAGTCACCTCGGCCAAAAAAGATTTCATATTCTAACCCAAAACAGTTAAAGAAAAAAGTGTCGTTTATTTATATTCAATCAACAGCTCAAAAAATAAGTTTCAAGCTTCTAAAATGAGGACACCTACCCATACCGCGTGTTGTAGTGACCTTGACCAAATATAGAAAAAATATTTAATAATCTAATCCAAAGGCAAATAAACGATTCCTCGTTATAGCTTCAAAGATGACGATTTTTTATACAAACTTTCATCCCCTATTTTTTACCGTCTTTAAGGGTAACAATTTTACAAACTTAGTCATACATATTTAATGAACAGCCTAAAAATAAGTTTCAAAATCTAGTTTTAAAAATAACGATACTTCCATACAATCCTTCATCTCCCTTTTCAACCCCTTACAACCCTTTTTTCACTTCAAAAAGTAGCCTACGTCCTTTCTCAGGATCTATACTATCTGTGTACCAAATTTCATTTATATCCGTTCACTAGTTTTGGCGTGTAAGCGACAGACAGACGGAGTTACTTTCGCATTTATATTATTAGTGAGATGAGATGAGATACACATATATTATCTTAAAGTACAAAACAGGAATACCCCGCAACCGAGCACATCGTTTTTGGAATGCTGTTCCCGCATTTAATATCCGAAACGTGATATCATTGTGGTTTCCAATAAAGCCCATTGCCAATCGATTCCTCGTCGAAGGTCCTCTGTGGTCTCATTGCTATTCCATTTTGCAGTGCCCATATTTAATATTGGCGTAACTGTGACTTAGGAATCGAATGCAGGACATTTTAGATTGCGTATTTTTTAAACATTTATACTGTATTCATTTTATTCTAGTCGTTTGCTAGTTATGAATATAGTAGTAATTTTAACGCTGAAAATAGAAAGTATAACTTTAACGTGATATTTTTGTCTATATGTCTGAATTTTCTAAACCATGGATTATACAACGGATCATGGATACCATAGATTTGACGACCTCGATGGTCTAGCGGTCTAGCACACCGCTTTACATCCGAAGGTCGCGGATTTGTTTCCTCGCACGGCACAAATATTTGTATTCATGAGTATGATTGTTGGTATCAGTTTGGGTGTTTTCTATGTATAATATGTATGTATTTATAAAAAATATATATCTATGTATATGTATCAGTTATCTAGTACCCATAACACAAGCTTTAGCTAGCTTAACTTGGGTTTAGATGGCGCTGTGTGAATTGTCCTGAGATTATAATTATTATTTATTCGATGATCCAGCGGTTTAACATGCTGCTAGTACTTTTAATAGTTACAGGTTATCATTTTGCACCAGCAAATATTTATGTTCATTCTTTGCATTTACATCAGTTGTCCCATAATATCATATAAGCAGAGCTTCTGCCTAGCTTAGGACTAGATGGCGCTGCGTGAATTGTCCAGGCATATATATTATTATTATTG